TGAACAAATCCTCAAGGGCCGTGATGAGGATTCGAACCTGCGTCCGGGAGCATCCCAGACACTGCCTTAATCGACTGAGCTACGATTTTGATTTTTTTTTTTTTATATACATAGAGTGGGGTGCCTTGCTTCTCGGTGTATATAAACAAAAAGTTTATATCAGTCTTGAACATAGTCCAGGAACCAGATTCACGAAGCAGTTACGCAAGTACTTACGAACGTGTACATCTTTCCTCAAATTTTGATGGATTTTGTTACATTTATTAAACAGTTTACAAGCATGAAAACTTGCCAATCAACTGTTGTTATTGTTATAAACAGCCTCCTGGTGCTTCGGAGCTCATTAACTGTTTAATAATTGTAAACAAAGCCGCCAAAGATTGAGAAAAGTTGTCCAGGTTCGTAAGTGCTGGCGTAACTGCTTCGTGAATCTGGCCCCAGGTTCGTAAGTGCTGGCGTAACTGCTTTATGAATCTGGCTCATGGTTCGTAAGTGCTTGCGTAACTGCTACGTGAATCTGGCCCATGGTTCGTAAGTGCTAGCGTAACTGCTTCGTGAATCTGGCCCATGGTTCGTAAGTGCTTGCGTAACTGCTTCGTGAATCTGGGGGTGGAGGCCTGGTCGAGGACCGGGCCGCGGGGACACTAAAAAGCCCCGAAATCATCTCAAGATAACCTCCAGTCCTTCCTTTATCCAGTCGTCTCTACCTCTTACGGTGAGAGAGGAAGTGGGGGAGGGCCGGTATCTCTCTCCCTCTCTCTCCTCCTCCTCCTCCTCCTCCTCCTCCTCTCTCTCTCTCTCTCTCTCTCTCTCTCCTCTCTCTCCCTCAGTCTGGTGTTTACGCTTTAGTCCTTTAGGGTCTGAGTGATGACCTCTTCCCTTATTGACTTATTTTCCTTGGGAGGGGCGAAAGTGAGGTGTGAGGTGCCCTTGATAATGGAGTAATGACCCTTAACCCCCCTTAAACCCCCCACCGTAACCCCCCCCCCCCACCACCTCCGTACCCCCAGCTCCCCCCCTCCATAAATCCCATCTGTGTCCTTGTATACCTGGAATATCGGCCCCAATATCTATTTATATATTTAATGTATTTGCTTTTCTCTTCCTGTGCTTTCTGTATGTTTCTATACATATCAGAGTGTATATCTGTCTCTCCCGGTATTTAAATAGGTTAATTACTGATTTTCCTTTGTGTGTACAGGTGTTGGTACGGGCATTGTGGCTACCTTGTGTGTGTAGCTTCCGGGGCTCAATGGACCAGCGGCCCGGTCTCCGACCAGGCCTCCTTGTTGGTGAATTGATCAACCAAGCTGTTAGACGCGGCTGCTCGCAGCCTGACTTATGAATCACAGCCTGGGTTTACCAGGATACATAAATTTTCCTAGATTTTTTTTATCATAATGTTTGTCCAACAGCAAACAGGTTAAACTCTACCAAAACTCTACCTAAACTCTACAATGGCAACCAAAAGGCAGGGATTATCAGTCTTTTTTTAGCCACCAGCACCTTCCCAGTCACACAAAATCCCTCTCCCACACTCTCCCAATCCTCCCTTGTAATCTCCCTCCCCCCTCTCTCTCATCAACAATACACACCTGAAGACGTCTGGTTCGTAAATTGAGCTTCACTCGAGGGTTCTGGGGTAGATACAGGAGGGTCGTACAGGACCAGAGTGCCAGGGGTACAGTGCCAGGGTGCGGTGTGGACTCAGCCGAGCTGTCTAGGTCACGTCTCTCCAACAAGGGGATTACCACTGAAGGTGTTTGTTGTGAAATGATACGATTAGTTTCAGGCAATTGATCAGGGGGTTAAGTCTGCCGTGTCTGTTCAGCAGGTGTTCAAAAGTCTGTTATTTGATGACCGAACTACAGTTCAGAAGATGGAGAAGCGACGACGTTTCGGTCCGTCCTGGACCTTTTATCACGTCGTGTGTGTAATGGTCCAGGACGGACCGAAACGTCGTCGTGCCTTTACTTTCTAGTGTGTGGTCTGGTCAACATATTTCAGCCACGTTATTGTGACTCCTCGTCTGCACTTAAGTGTTATCTTGAGGTTATCTTGAGATGATTTCGGGGCTTTTTTTTTTAGCGTCCCCGCGGCCCGGTCCTCCAGCAGGCCTCCACCCCCAGGAAGCAGCCCGTGACAGCTGACTAACACCCAGGTACCTATTTTACTGCTAGGTAACAGGGGCATAGAGTGAAAAACTCTGTCCAATGTTTCTCGCCGGCACCTGGCATCGAACCCAGGACCACAGGATCACAAGTCCAGCGTGCTGTCCGCTCGGCCGACCGGCTCCCCCCTTCAGATAAGGATAAGAAGGTTAACACCAGGAACAAGACATCTTAGGAAGAAAGATTAAGAAAGCTTAGTACACATTCTCCTGGAAAGTGAAGACTAAGTTACAACAAGATTGAACCATATCAATATCTATAAGATCGAATATCTCTCTGTCTAAGGTTCGAGCCAGATATCAGGGCCTTGTCTCAGCCAAGTTTGGAGG